ATTGATGGTGAAATTAATAATAACTTTTATATTTTTTTATATATTTATAATAAAAAAATATAATAAATACATTCTTATCATGTACCTTAATAACACATGATAATATATATTTTTTTTAATTTCAGACATAAATGAGATGTTATGAGATGATTTTTATTGATTGGACTGAAAATATAAATCTAATATCGTAGGCCCAATAATATCTACTTGATTGCCATAGAGAAAACTATTAATGTCATTAATACGTCCTTGGACTTGAACTTATCACTAAATTGTTGTGGCCCCAAATATTAAATGCATTTGATTTCAAAAAATGTTGATTAAAATGAACGAAAAAGGTAGTGGGGAACTAGACATGTCCATGGAGATTAAGGATATGCATACCCCATATGACAAGATAAGGTTCCTAACAGGATATATTCATATATAGCCTAGCTCACATTTTTCTCTACCAAAATAAAAAACGTCTAGCTCACTTTTTTTTTTTTTTGTATAGATTTCACATTTGATAATAATTATGATTTATTATTTTTATTCGTCGATTATACATTCACTAATTTTATGTCATATGATCATATAAATATATATCAATTATGTGCTTTACTAGCTTTAATAATTAAGATTACCAAATGAAAACCAAATCAAAATTACCCTTCTGTTCTCATTGATGAAAAATGATTTTCTATAAGCCCGATTATTTTTTACAAATCATTGTATACTTCTCCCGTTCAGTCACATAAATTTCATGTCTTTTTTTTTTAAATTTATTTTTCCCCTTCATTTCTCCATATTTTAGCATACAAACTTCCATTTATTTTAGTCCAAGAGTGTTTTCCCATGATTATTTTTCCTTCAAAAAAATCTTTTTTGGTTCACATCATCTACAGCTAAGAGATAGGGTGTGACAAGATTATGGTATTTTCCATCAATGTTGTGAAGAGACTTAAAGCTAAGGACGGAGACTAAGTTGCATAGAGTTGAATGATAATGGTAGCAAAATGGACCCCAATTGCCCACAGCCTTCAGGTGGCTCTGTCTTCCAGGAGGTTACTTTGTCCAAATCAAAACCCTTCTTGCATATAAACCCAAACATGCATGCATGTCTTATATTTCAACACAATTCCCCTTCACTTTCAACTTGCTTTCCTAACTTACACCTCATCAAAATGCCATTACCTTCCAACCCCTCTTCCAAACAAGGCCAAAACTCAAGCTAGTTGACCACATTCTGCCATAAATCATATCTTTGACAAAAACATTAAATCTAATATCTTTTAAGATTTTTCACTTATAATTAAATGATCGAATCATAACAAGTCCAATTCGAGAGCATCAATGTTGGGGTAGAGAAGTAGAGCCACAACTTTTTCTTGATTTAACTCTCAAAACTCACGGGATGCCAATCTTTTCTTGATTGCTTCCTACTAATTTTATGCTCTTTAATTTTTTAAACTCCCTCTTTTTCATAGTTTGCCTCCCCCAAAACAGTGGGAGCAACTTGCAATTGCAAGAATCTCTGGCCCATTAACCTTCACATCACAGTGATTCATTTAAATAAGCCCAGTCTCACCCAAACAATTTTAGGCCAAGCCCAAATTCTATTTTTTAAAAATAAAAAATTAATTAATTTATCCACCTAAGAAATAGAATGCACTGAGCGAAACAGTCATTGACGATCTAGGCCTACAGTGTTGCTGTGCGGAATCGAAATTTCTATTTGAAGCTCTTCGCTGCTATAAACCCTAATTTGATTCTTGCAAGTTGCAATGGGTTGTGGTTCTTCTCGTCTGGGTATGGTAAAAAACCTTGTAAATTTTTCTTACTGCATTCAATTCTTGAGTTTTTTGATTTCTAGGGTTTCATTGGCTAATTCCTGAGGAGAGTAATTTATAAAGTTAGTAATTTGGTTGGTTTAGTGATTTTTTGAGCTTGAAAGAAGTTGAATTGATCGCCGAATGAGAATTTTGTGCTCATTTGATGATGGGAATTGACTAGTTTTTGGTAATCTGGCTTTCTTTTGATCATGAGAGAGGCTTAGGTTATTACCCATTTGAGAATTTCTGTAAATTTTGATTCTTTTTTGGGGGGTGTTTTTATTGATTTCAGATAGGACTTCTGGGCGGTTGAATGGACTTAACAATTCAGAGAATGCTAGTGCGCACGATGCTAAAAATCTTCGTGTGAAGGTAAACATTTGTGGAGATTGTTGTTGTAGTAAGTTTATGAGCTGAATCATATCGTATCCTGATTGAATTTTTCCTTGGAAGTAACCAGTTTCTCCTTTTCTTTTCCCTTCTTGATTCTCGTAGCTGGTTCTATTAGGTGATTCAGGTGTTGGTAAAAGTTGCATTGTTCTTCGCTTTGTTCGTGGGCAGTTTGATCCAACATCCAAGGTGAGGGATAAGATTCAGTGTATTGTAGCAAGGTTCATCTTCATTTAGTTTAAGTAGCATTTTGGTCAACCATATTCCTGTATTCCACCTTAACTGGCTTTTACATTTTCCCCTCTTTCAATGACAGAATATTATTTTGTGATTAAGTTACTGACATTCATTGACCTTCACTGCTTCAGGTGACTGTTGGAGCTTCGTTCTTGTCTCAGACAATAGCTTTGCAAGATTCTACAACCGTGAAGTTTGAGATATGGGACACTGCTGGACAAGAGAGGTATTCTTGGAGTTGGAAACAATAATGGATCACTATGTATTGTTACGAGTTTATACTAAAATATAAGTTTGTAAAACTCATCATGAACTCTTATCTGCTTCAATGTTTTAATTGTTTACAATCTTCCTCAGGTATGCAGCATTGGCTCCACTATATTACCGAGGAGCTGGAGTTGCAGTTATTGTCTATGATATAACAAGCCCTGAGTCATTCACTAAGGCACAGTATTGGGTCAAGGTAATTTCTAGGAGATTGTTATATTATATACACATGAATATAATCCTTGATAGGGTGGAATGGAGGAAGAGGATTCATGTAGATGACTCTATTTGAGACTAAAACTTAGATGAGTATGGCTGGGGATGATTTGATGTTCATAAATTTCACTATGTAGCTGATTGTACTGATTCTGAAATTTCCAAATGGATTCATAGGTTCTCTAGGAGTTCAAAGAATAACAATGATATTCCTTAAATCCATGTCACTTATGACTTGGTCAAAACCCAAAATGTTTCTTACCATGCTAAAATATTCGTGAATGTTCACTTTAAACAGGAACTACAAAAACATGGGAGCCCGGATATAGTCATGGCATTGGTTGGGAACAAAGCTGATCTTCATGAGAAGAGAGAAGTACCTGCTCAGGTTGGTCAATTCTCCACAATGCCGTGGATAAAAATTTATCCACATTCTCAATTGCCATCTGTTTTCCTCATTGTAACGTGTCCTGTTTTATTCTTGAAGGATGGCATTGACTATGCTGAGAAGAATGGAATGTTCTTTATTGAGACATCTGCAAAGACAGCTGATAATATAAATGAGCTGTTTGAGGTACTTATTTGCTTGTTAAAAGGAACCAGTTATTGTCATCAATTATCATGAACATAAACTTCAGAAGCAACTTATAAAGATAGGTCCTAACGGTCATCCATATGAATCCAGTGCTAACTGCTAAGAAATGTTAACTCATCAACTTTTCTCTGTGAACTGAGGTTGTTTGCTTCTTCCTTGGCAGGAAATTGCTAAGCGACTTCCCCGCCCCTCTCAAGTCCAACCTTCTCAACCGGCCTCATGATTGGTGGCCATTGAGACTGGATTAATCAGACAGCTTCCAATATTACTAGAATTGCCTGTTATGACGTCAATACTGTGAATATTGTTGTGTATTTTAGTGTTTCCCCTATTCTGTGAGTGTAATTCTGAGTCTGATTCATATATTTCAGATTTTAATATCATGACACAAATCATACTTCTCCATTTGAATTGTAGTATGATGTCTCAAGAAATGTTACATATATTTGGATTTTACATTTAAAAAATTTATAGTCATCAAAAATAAAAAAGGGTTAAAAAAAAAAAATAGTGAAAGAACGGAAAGAAACGGAAATAACATTAGAGGCAATAGCATGGTTCTATACACAAATATGCAATATCCATTAAAGGTTGCTCTCACTTTCAACAGGCTCTCTATTCTTGTACTATTTTCTGGCCAAAATACTCTCCATATCGCTCCAACTGCAAGGCACGCAGAGGGCTCCTCTCTGAACAAATCCGAACTCCTCAGCTGCATGTTCTAACAGAGTCAGAAATGCAGGGTCGTTCAAGTAACTCAGATGAACAAAAAATCTCTTTGGTCTCTCGTTCTCCATTGCAATCACTGCAAAATGTCCTCCCTTTATGGTCTCAGACGAAGATTCATTGTCAGACTCACTGAATGCCATTGAAAGGCTCTTCTGCAGCATCTCACCCACAATCTTAAGACCCATAATGCCATTCTTCTTCTTACGCATGGTCATTTCTGTTTCGGACGATCCAAAAAGCAAGTTCCCTTCTCCTTATATAAGGTAATCAAACGAAGAAGAACATGAAGTGTTTTGAAGTACCAGAAAACCAGCTCAAAAACACTTCATGTGGGATGGTCATCCCTGACATGTCCTTTTCCTTCAGCAACTTCTTCCCCTGAAGATTGTATGTTTTTTAGGCTTGTTTTGAAACATTTTGGTGGGATTGTCTCAAGTAGTAGGCCTTTCAGACATGATATGTCACTTTCACACTTTGTGGGAGTTCAGGTAATTTTAGGAGTTTAAAAAGGGTTTCAAGATTACCGCAGTTTGAGCTGTTAACTGTATTCTGGTCTTCAAAATGCTAAAATGTAGTATTTGCTTCCGATTCTCAATAAATTTTGTGAGAAAAAAGTGTTTGTTAATTGCAAAATAACTGCACTCTTAGAGTATGTTTGGTTTGAGAAAAATTGTGAGTTTGGTTTGAGAAAAATTATGAGGAAGATAGGGGAAGGGAAGAATGAATTTCCTAGCCAATCAAATTACAATATTAGATATTATAATTTGATTAACCAAAAAATTCATCCTTGCCTTTGAGGGCTTGGGTTGCAATGAATTCTCAAAATAAATCATCCTTTCTAGGTATGTTAGCCCGTATAGTGTATGATTGGAAAAAAAAAATTTTCCTACCCTTGTCTCCATTTTCCTCAAAGCAAACATACCCTAGCACTTGACTTCAGACTGCCAAACAAACTCCATTGGTATCGGCCATCAGCTTGTTTGATGTAGCAAACTACCATGCATGTTCTTTCCTTTGCCATGCAACTTAAAAATTTTTTTCTGGAAGCATGAGGGGGTACAATTTCCAGTTCTGGTAGTTATGGCAAATTCATCATCCTCATTAGGGTTGGCTTCCAAGGATTTGAAAATGTGAAGTCTATCTTTTGTTGTATAACTCACTATTAAATCTATTTAAACAATTAAAAAAAGGGCATTAAAAAGCATAGAAGAAGAAGGTGAGAAAATAAATCCATTTAGATTTTGAGATTTTCTCCTAAAAATAAGAAACTGTGCGCTTGCCCCTCTGCTACAACAAAACATCAATTTACAAGAGTCCAGGTTGAGCCCCTGGATCATTAAGAAGCACCTTGTGAGAGATATAATGTACTGGAAAACTAATGTATACAATGAACACTAAGCAACAAAATAGCAGGAGCAAAGAGGAGGTGCCTCCCTGCCTAATCAACCAACTTGATTAGGCTGTAAAGTATAAAGCTATACCAAAATATTATACAAAATTCAAATTGTTCCTCCTTTGATGGCCCAAAAAAATTGTTCTTCCTCTTGAATATAATTCATGGTGTGGGATACAAGAATGTATATCCTTGCTTTGTTAGTGGAGATGACACCCAACTTATTAGGCATATTGAACTCATTTGAATCTTGCCACAAGTCATGGATGGTCCCTTCTGGTGAAAATCCTGATAGAGAGGAATTCATCATCGAAAGAGAAAGAAACAACACTAACCGTGACCTAGAAGTATGAATAACAAACCAAATATACAATATTTAACTGTAACAAAAAACCAAAAAGGCATTTATTCTGAGAACCAGGCTCACAATCCAAAGGATTTACATTTTTTCCCAAAAAACTAAATAAATCACTATAGTAAAATCATTTAAAAATGCAAAGGATTTCATCCACAGGACAAATAGCACCTTGGACCTCTACAAGTTGCAGTCAGGCGAAAACAAAACATGTAAGAATTGCTTCCAGGGATTCTAGGAGTATCCCATACACAAGCTTCCATGCCAACATGGTCATGAACAGAAAGGAGTGCTCTGCCAGTTTAAGCTGGTATCAAAAGAAATCTTGTGCCACTTGAAATCTTTAATTTTGAAATTCCAATAAAATAGTAGCAATGGAAGTATGGAACTTGGTTTCCATGAGTTGACATATAGTTGACATATGAACCTATCATTCTCAGGCCAGTTTCCAGTTAACCAAATATAGTGTTCTTCTAAAGTTTTAAAGGGTAGGATTGGAGGATAAGCTGGCCAGGGATTCGATTGCTAAGAATACTCAACAGCATACAGCATCGTCTTTGGAAAAGATAAAAAAGGAAAAAATGGCAAACTGCATCTTATATCATATTTAACTCTTATTAAGATCAACCACACATAACACAAATCATTCATCTTCTTTTTTTTGGCAACTATAAATAATTTATCTTTCATATGTATTTTCTTCATAGGGAAAATACATTGAAGAGACTTCATCATGCCTAATATCCAGTCATTCAACCATTTGCAATTTTTACCAATCAATGACAGGGAAAATACAGTGGACACAGTATTTGCCTCACAATAAGAATCAAAACTAACTGATTGATGCTAATCATAAGTGCCATTGCTATATAAAAAAAAATATATTGGCTGAAGTGCCATAAAGCAGGGAAATTGAGCAAATATCCGAGTCAAGATTTGTAATGTGAAAAGCTGGCAGCATTTTGTTCAAGGAAATGGGTTAGTAAAAGATAGTTAATGAAAAACAGAAATACACCCGTCGAATATATAAAATCAAGAACACCATACCATCATTGAAGAAAATCTATATCAGACAAAGACAACAAATACAATCATCATTGATGGAAAATTTGAAAATCAAGAACATCACACCATATATAACCGACAAGCTACAAAATCATTTCCATTTCGCATGTCATTAAGCAGCAACGATATACTCCTAGTCCTAGAACCCAGATGGAATTAATTTCAAGAGAAAAATAATGAAATGAAACAACAGAACACATAGCTTATTAAAAAGAATAATTTTAACAGGCATGCATACCTCAAACTCAAGTGGCTCCAACACATGTAGCTATCTACACCCCCAATTCCTCATGAAATCACTCCTCCTCGTCACTCTCATCACTAAAGTAACTAGTTTTCAGTTTCTTCGCAACCTCCTTCTTCTCCTCCACCACCCTCCCTCTCAATAACCTCCCTTCAGCCCCTCCGTTCACCACAGAAGCCCAATTCTCCTCCTCGAACGCTTCCTCCATATCCGATACATCATCTGCCCCATCTTCATTTTCTGCCCTCCTCCCTGTCCCACCTCCACGCCCCTTCTTGGGTATCGGCCCCTCCCTTGGCCCTAGCTGGTTCTTAGGGCACTCGTACGACAAATGCCCAGAATCCCCGCACTCATAACACCTCGACTTGTCCTTGAAGACCCTTTTTCGAATAAACTATGGGGCACGACCATTGTCGACCGCGATTGAGGCGGATAGTGTGCGACCATTCAGGACCTTTCCATGCATAACACGCACTGCCGCCAGCGCATCCTCCCGCGATACAAACTGAATAAAGGTCACACCTTTGGACCGGCGGGAAGCGCGATCCTTGAGAACGGTGACGCGAGCGACCTTGCCGAAGGTGGAGAAGAGGGTATGGAGATCGGAATTGGTGAGGGCATAGTCGAGATTGGAAACGTAAAGGGTCGATTTAGAAGGGGCCAATCCTGCTGAGCCCTTGGATTTGCTGTTGCTGTGGGTTCCAGTAGCGGTGGACGGCGACGGTGGGCGGTGATGGAGGACTAACGGTAGTAAAAGATCTCGTCTTCATCGCTGTCACTGTTGCTGTTCTTTTTCCTTGGCGCCTTTTTTCCTCCGCCGAGGCAGATTTACATTGTAATAATAATAATAATAATAATAATAATAATAATAATAATAATAATAATAATAATAATAATAATAATTTGAAATATAATAATTAAATCCATATGTAGTTAAAATTAAAATGAAACTGCTGAAGTTTAAATCATTGAAAATTAAGTTTATAACTTTCACCGTATATGCAAATAAAGTCAATACATTGTTTTGAGTTCAAACTGATTAACAACAATAAATACTTAATAGAATAGATATGTGGTATCAAATAAGTAAATATCTATTAATTTACACATCTTATTAAATGAAGGCAATTAAAATTATTATCATGTCATGTTATGAGAATTTATTATAAAAAAACATTGTTAATGAATCATTTTTATTTTTAAAATAACTTAAATTATGATTGTAAATAGTTGGTTATAATAAAGGTAAAAGGCACTATTTACACACTCTACACATTTTTTCTTTTTATGACTCTAAATTAATTTTTATCCTAACTAACATAATCTACTATTCAAAACTCGTGTTAGACTCAAAAATTAATTGTTAAATTTTAAATTTATGGTTAAACCTCTATTTACACCATGACTTTATTAGTAATTTAAAATTTTATAGAGATTTTAAATTATAAAAGATGTTGACCAGAATGAAAACTAATTTAAGATGTTACTATGAAAAAAATATATATGTAAAGTGCAAATAGAGGATTTGGCCTATAATAAACATAGCATATTATCATGGTTTAGAAATAAAATTTCAATTACAACCCACTTTCACAAATAATATCACTTAGTTAACATTCTATATATAAAAAAAATCACTCAATTAACATTTAATAAATTGTAATACAAGCAACAAATCATATGTGTGTGTATATATATACAAAGAAGCAAAATAATCATTAAAAATTAAAAGTTGAGTTGATTGTTTCCATATCAACAAAGTCGAAAAGAAATTTTCAAGAAATTGTGAAAAATTAATACATTTTGATAATTAAAATATTAATATTAATATTAAAAAGATTAAAATACTATTAATAAATCAAACATAAAAAATTTTATTAATTTAAATAATTTCATAAAAAATCATGACATTTAAAGTAATAAAACATTTTAGTTTTTACTTTTCTCAATTTTTAGAATTATTTCTTTGTAATTTCTGATGATTAAAGCATGACTTAAAGATAACAATGAAACTTTAATTTAGTGGTAAGATTAAGACAAATGCCTCTATATTTTTAAGTTCCAATGACAAAATAACAATATAGTAATATCAATAACCTAACAAACAACTTCTCTCAACCCTTTTAAACCTCTCCCTCCCTCCCACATGGAAGGAGTTTCTCAAGTGGTTGGCATTCCTTTTTGAAAGTCAGAAAAAAATTGAGTATGAAATGTAAGTAAGTAGATTCTTTTTCTCCTTTTTTTTTCGTTTTGTTCTTATGTGTTTTTCACTAGAATTCCTCTTTCTTCAAATTTCAGAAGAAAATTGAAAACAAAAGATGGGTTAATAAAAATTTAAAATAAAACACACACAAATAACTGTCCTTCTCATGAATATGGACTTCACAAAGTGAACATGCAAGTGAATATTGATATTATAACGAAAGCATACAGAGGGTAATGAATGACTTCGTCCGTACAACAGAGGCCCTAAAAGAAATGCCATGAAAATCAATGTCGAAATCTCTCGCCGCCTGTTATTCCTCCCGTCCACCGAGGCCGGAAGAATTATCAGGACTCCACATGGGCCTGAACACCTTCCAGGACAGGCCAAAATAAGTGTCTAAGATCATTGGAAATCTTGCCTGGTCCAAACTAATGTGCATGGGTCTGTGCCTCTGTGGCGCTCAAGGAGTGACAAAAAGAAGGAAATTTCATTGGGGTTGGGTATAAAAAGTCTGGAGTGAAAAAAATCTTTTAAGTCTGTTGCGTCTTTGTAGCTTGTAAAGAGGAGTAAGTCGTATGGAAGGAGAAGAAAAAAAAGAGAGAGGCAAATATTAACAAGCTTGTGAAGGATTATGGAAAAGATCAAGGTCGGTCCATAGGCAAAGGTTGGAGGTCAGCATGTTAGGAGAAGGAAGACAGAATGAACCAACTGTGTAGAGATGGAAAAAGGAATTTAACGTGGAGATACATGCTTTAGGCTCTCCTCTCTTGGTTAAACGTTGCCTTCAATATCAAAAAATCGACTTCAATACCATCCAAAGATATCACATGTACTAGAACCTACCTCAACTAGCCACAACTCAGATTTACTCAATGTGGCATGCAACTACTCTCCTTTAAAATTGTCTAAACATGCTTATAGTTAATGATGAGAGCACTTTTAGTGTGGCATCACGAATGAGCATTCCATACACAACAATATGTATGATGAAAGTGACATAAATACGTACATGCAAAAGTATAGATGGAGAATTTAAATTTTAAATTCACATA